CCAAATTATTTGGGTCAAACTAACTTAGAGTGTTTGCAAGAAGAAAAAAGGTTAATTTAATTCTAGATTTCCTGAATTAGCGCTGGTATTAATTTTACAGGGCAGAGAGAGTTTAGCAGACTTTTCTAAACTGGAAAATAAAACCAATTACTTTGGCCATCAGGGTCTCCAAAACTCAGTGAGAGGCTCTCAAGGTGGTGGTGGATACATTCCACCCCTCGTCCCAAAGAGGCTGAGAGAAGAAATGCAAAATGGAGGTAGAGCCCTGGGCAAAGAAGCAAGTTCACAGGTATCAAGTGGTAGGGACCTCCGAGCACCACAGGAGCAGAGGTGAGGCCCGGGACAAGAAGGGAATACTGAGTTAAGGGGAAAGACTGGTAGAAACAGCCGGGCGGTCTACTTCAGGTGAGGCTGCAGCAGCAAAGGCCCGGGATGGGGGGTGGGGCAGCGTTACATCTGGACGAAGGAGTTTCCAGTGTGGCAAAGGTCAAGCCTTTGAAGAGGAAAAACAGCACGGAGAGCCTGACAGTGGTGAATAAGGGAAAGTTGGGGCTGCGTAACCTGCTTTGGGGTTCAAGCGTAGAGGCATGAGCGGGTGGTGGGCTTTTCTCCCTGGGGAGGAAGACATCGCGGGAAAAAAATGGCTCCACGGGGGTGCGAGGGCTGTCACAGGCCTGAGGAAGAAGAGCCGCGGGGTGTCACTCAACTGGGGGGAGGGGGTGCCGCAGGGTGGGAAGCTTGTCACAGTCCAGGGAGGCGGCACAAGGGGGTGTCACTGTCCTAGGGGACGGGGAATTGTCCTTGCGCTGAGAGGAGGAGGCGCAAAGGAGCAGGAGGGTTGTCACGATCCCGGGTAGGGGGGCGCCGTGCAGCGTCCCCGCTCTGAGAGGATTCCAGTAAGTCTCCTTCTCCCGGGAGGCGCCGGACGGGTCAGGTGGAGGGCGCCGCTCCTTGCCCGTCCTGCAACCGCGCCCCGGGCGCCCCCGCCCCGCCGTCAGCTCCCTCTCGATCTGAAGGCTGAAGCCACTCCCTGATGTGGGCAGCTTTCCGCGTAGCGCAGCGCAGGGAAAGGCAAAGCTGGGCAGCGAGGTAGGCGTTCTCCCTCACCCTTGGCCAGATCCGGAGCTTACCTGGTGTCTGCGGCCCCCTGCTCTGCCTGCCCGGCCACTCTCCAGATCCCAAGATGTCCGCCCGCCCCCTGCTCGCCAGCCCGCTGCCTCGGCTTTCACCGCAGTGCCGCGGCCCCGCCCCGAACACAGTTGCGCGTGCGCGTCCGGTGGACGCGCCGACTACATATCCCGTCAGGCCCTTCGACCTTCTCTTTGCAATTTTAAGCTTTCTAGGTTCAGTAAAACTACAACTACCGACAGGCTTCGGCGGGGTAGGCGTGCTATGAGTAGGGATAGGAGGGGCCTTATCCAGCCTTTCACGAAATACACATCCCATCATATGCCGCTCCACTGACTTTATTTTCCCCGCTGAGCATTCTGGGAATTGTAGTCTGCAATCCATCCTGTTCCTATTTCAGTGTTTAAGACAGCTTCAGAGGATTAATGCCATTTGTTGAAGCCCATCTGTTAAGCCTTAGATTGCTGCAGGCCTTTTCTGTCTCAGGAGTCCGAGGACTGGCTGTGCTCACTTTACACACACACACACACACACACACACACACACACACGACTTGGCAGAAGTGTTTGTACTGAATTTCCTGCTTTCTAACACCACCTCTGATTCTCTCAAGAGTTTTTCATCAAATACTTGTTCCGGACATGAGCCCTTTCCCAGAGATCAAGACCCAAGTAAAAGGGCAGGGAGTGAGGAGGCAAATACTTGTAAGAAACTAGCCAAATCTTTTCAAGAATGTCTGTTCTATCCCAGCTATTTATACGTATGTGACTTCTGGAGCCCAGGACCTGTGTGCCTTCTAGTGACAGCATATATGTTGCTTTAAAAACCGTTGGCAAGTTTATTTATTTACTCTTATTTATTTTTTAAAGGTTTTATTTATTTATTGAGAGGGAGAGAGAGAAAGCATAAGCAGGAGGGAAGGGTAGAGGGAGAAGCAGACTCCCCACTGAGCAGGACTCAATCCCAGGAATCTGGGATCATGATCTGAGCTGAAGGCAGACGCTCAACTGACTGAGCCACCCAGGTGCCCACCCTTGGCAGGTTTAATTTAACTGGATACAGAATTTGAAATCCCCTCTCTGATGAACAGAGTTAATCTTCACATCCAAGCTGAGAAGAAGAGACAGAGCAAACCCTCAGACATGAAAGGCCTACTTGACTTTTGCAGGACCTAAAGAAAATCTGTTAGCTCTTTCTGCAGGGAGAGATGCCCTGCTGCCTTCACTGCTGCTGAGCCTATCATGGGAGGAAGGGCAAAAAAAGGCAAACCTGGTCGCAAACCCTACTCCCAGCATCCTCCTGCTACAAGCCAGGGTGTGGCAGGATGAGGATCTGCTCTCCTTTAAATGGTGGTCACAGTGTGAATCCATTGAGTGATCGAATAGTGGCATTTCTAATTCTTGAACCAGCATTCAAAACTTCACTGCTACCTTCCCAAAAGCTTTATCTTCAGTAATACCCTACCAATTTAGAGTAAATAATAATAATAATAATGATAATAATAATAATAGCTACCATTTATTGAGCACCTATTCTACTCTGTGCCAGGCACTGTGCTAGGCACTTTTCGTACAATATCTAATTTAAATCCTCACAACAACCCTGTGAGGTAGGTATTATTATCATCATTTTACATATGAGGGAATTGAGGCTCAGAGAGATTAAATAACTCTCTTATCATGAAACCAAAAAGTAGTAGAGCTGGAATTCAAACCCAGAACAACCTGACTCCAAATCCTATGCTCCTGTGAATTAGAGTAGAGGCAGAGGGGAGAGGAAGGCCCATATTTGAGAAAGATTTTTGGAGTGGAATGATATGATATGCTGACTCGTAAGATATGAGGAGGAATCTAAGCCCATACATGTTCCTAGCTGGTGTGCCTATGTAGAGTGTGATAAAGATCACCAGGATTGGAATTCAGGAACATACTTGATGGGGGAAATGAGTTGAGTCCATATGGATATGTCCATGTTGATGTCTGGTGGGTGATAATGCAGATCTCAGATTTGGAGGCAAATTGTGGCTGGAGATATGTGTTTTAGAATCACCGGCGTATCAGGGACAATTAAGAACATCAGGATAGATGATATCATTTGGAAAGTAAACATAGAGGAAAGAGAGAAGTGAACCAAAGATGGAACACTGGGAGCACCAACACTGAAGGCATGAGCAATAGTGAAGTTGAACATGAGCGATAGTGGAGTTGAACATGGCAGAGTCAGAAAAGGAAAAGTAGGGAGGCAGCCCTGTAGTGGTGGCTAGAGAAAGCCATGGCCTGGATTGGGAGCAAACCTAGAGCTCCTAGAAGGCAGGAAAGACCGAGTCACGCTTCTAACACAGCCCCTGGTCACCAAAAACCCCAGGAAGTATTGGTTAAATGAATGAATGCCAAAAATGTCCCTACCCTAGTTTGCCCCAAAGCCTGGAGCTTAAGACTTAATCCTACTCTTGACACCCCAGTCCTAAAAATATGGATGGCTAGGTGAGCCAGGAGAATTTACAGAAGAGGTTTAAAGAGAAAGTCATGATTTGCTTCAACTGGAGAATAAGGTAAAAAATAAAACCTGGCACTTTAGTAGGAGTCCCAGAAGTCCCTTTCCCAACCTTTTTCTGTGATTGTGAAATCAGGGAAGGGTGTATGGGGTGAGGATCAGGGTGAGAACCACCTGCCAGTTGCCTGCGGAGTCCTCTGCTGAGCCTAACCTGAGAACCAATTCACGAGCTTTATCCAGGTAGAAAGGTGATGGGGACATGTGTGGGAGGTTTGAGGGGTATAAGGGGAGAGGGAAGTCAGGGAACCAGCCCTACAACCTGGGAGAGAGGGTCCAGCCCTCTGGGTAGGGACGAGCCTTGAGGCTTAAGTGAACTTACATAGGCACATATGGGTATGTGTGTCTGTGAGAGAGAGAAAGAGAGAGAGAGGGAAAGAGAGAGAGGAATGGGGCACCCTCTGGAAAGGGGAACAGAGTCTCTCATACATGGTTGAGAGGCTGAAGCCTTCCACAAAAGCCTAATGACTCAACATGCTGAGGTGGGGGTGTGGGAGCTGAACATCCTTGGGAAGCCCTGAGGGGCTGCTGAAGCAGGGTTCCTGGTCTCCTCGGAGGCTGGGCCTCCCCTTGCTGGGGGCTCACAGAAAGTCAAACAGCCCGAAATTCTTGGCTGCTCCAGGCCCAGGAAAAATTGAGGGAAGAAAAAAGAAAGAAAAGAAATGTTTCAGGCCCAGAGGTGAGATGAGCCTGCTGGTTAGTAGGGTTAGGGGTCTGAAGGAACCAGCACACAGAGCGGGCATGGGGGTGCAGGTATAGGGGTAGAGCGGATACGCTTCCTGGAAGCCACCAGCAGCTCAGGCAACTGAGGGGGGGGCCCTCGGGCTTCCAGTAAAGGTCCGCACAGGCGGGGATAGCTTGGATGCTTACTGGAAGGGACTACGGCTCTAAGGTATAGTACTGAGGCAGCCCTGGGGGGGTGCGGTGGGTGGTTAGGAGGAGGAGTAGATGAAGCAAGTATTTTTTGGTGTCAGTATTGTGAGGGGGAAAGTTAGGAGATTGGCACACATGCTCGAAGGGATGCAGTTAATGGAGGGCTGATAAAGCGGAATGAATGGTGCAAGGTTGCTGAGGGGGGAAAAGTGAGGATAAAGGGACAAGCAGGCCCAAAAGGGGTCTGCTGGGGTCAACTCCTGAAGTGTGTGTGGGAAATAGGAACAGCACCAGCAAGTCGGGTCCTAGAGACATGAAGCATCCTGGGAAGGCCTATGCAGCAGTTAGTAGGCAGGGGGACAAGCTGGGGCTGGTGGCAGGTTAGGGGGCACAGTGGCGACCGGTGGGTGCACCCCACCCTCACTGCGCCCAGCGAGCAGTTAGCGCGCCTGAATTTAGTTCAATTTATTTCCCTTTCAGGTACCAGACAAAGTAAAAAAGAAGGACGGATGGAGAGAGGGACGCAGCCGCCCGGGGGAGCGGGATCGACGTGGGGAAGGGGCCCTGTTCACATCACATCCACAAAGAACTCACTGGGGTTTCCCATGGCCATGCGGAAGGACTGTCTGCTGGCTGTCAGTTCGGGGGGCACAGAAGCCAGGTCGCGGCCCGGAGGGGCTCCTGGGGGCCCCATGGCCGCGGGTGGTGGGGGCATCATCAGCATGGGGGGACCGTAGAGAGGGGGCACGCCAGGGGGACCGTAGCTCGGGTGCGTGTGGTGGCTGCGCAGGCTGCTGGCCATTGAGTGGTGGCTGCGGTGGCTGTGCTCGCTGGCAGCAGGCCCCGAGCGCTCGCTGGGCGCTCTTTCCCGTGGCCCCCGCAGGCTGCTGCGGGTTGTGTGGTCCGACTCGCTGCCGCTGCCTCCCGACTTCGAGTCTCCCGCCTTCGGATCCTTCTCCTTCCTCCGGTCGCTGCCGCTACGGTTGGAGCCACTGCTCCGGCTACCTGTAGGGGACAGGCAGGCCCAGGGTGGAGGATGCTCAGAGCTTGCAGAAGCGGATCGGGGCTCTCCTGTGCCCCCACCATCGCTGCCTCTGCCTTACCTTCACTGTGCTGACTGCTGGCGCTGCCCCCACCATAGCTGTACCCCAGCTCTGGGAAGCCTGGGTGCGGGTTGTAGGGGTGTGGGGGTGGTGGGTACTGGTAAGGGAAAGCCATGGGCCAAGGGGCGGCCCCTGGGTGTGGCAAAGGGGCCAGCGTGTCCTGGTCAGAGGCACCACTGGAACCGTCGTGATCATGGAGGGACAAGTTGGCCATGTCTGTGGAGGGGAGGAGAGGGCCAGATGAGCTGGGTCTATCCTACGCCCCCACACCCCTAGGTCAGGAGAGAGAGGTCCCCACTCTAGGTTGGGTTGGGCACATTTACGACGACACCTAACACCAGTGGTAGTTTATCCCCAAAATGAGAGGAGGCACAGGTCAGAGATCTCTTACTTCTTCAGACCCCCTCCACCACCCATCTGAGATGGTGGAGAGGGAGACCCTTGTAGACACAGCACCAAGGGAAACCCTCCTCAGGAAGGCCCTAAGCCCCCACTTCAGATGCTCAATGCCCAATCCTGACACCCAACTCCCATTCCCAGGGAGGTCCCCTTCCAGGGGTCTGACGGTTTCTCCTCCTTCCTTAGTAAACTGGAAGAAGTAGCAGAAGTCTTAAACAGGCAACATTCTCTGTTCACTTAGGGGAGTGTGGGCAGCTGAAATAGCAGACAGGTACTGCAAATCTGCAAGTTATTAGGCATGATCAAAGCCCTTCACCTCATTCAGATGTTACCACCAGCCTGTGAAGAGGGCATCAGTCACATTTTTTCCAGATGAGGAAAGTGAAGTCCAGAGAGGTTAAATGACCTGCTTGAGGGCAATCCAAACTGTGGCCAGAGCAGAAGCTAGGAGTTACTTATTTTCTTCTTACCTTTCCAGGTGAGTCATTAATAAAGAGTAGGGAGCAGCTGGGGGAAACTTAGGTGAAACTTTGCCCTCTCCCTTCACCTAGGACTAAAAAAAGTACCCATTATAGGCCAGAACAAACATAGGCCTTTCAGAGCGCCCCCGTACAGAAGGGACTTGGCCCGAATGGATTTTCTGGTGCTGTTGGGTATGGTGGAAAGGCCTCAGAAAGAGAACCACTTAGGTGCCTCCTCTGTGCCCTCCACCCCATTCCCAGTCAGGCCTCATTCTTCACAGTATTAACATTACTTGTTTCACGACTCTGGTTCCCCCAGGAAATTGTGCACTCCTTAAGGCCAAGGCTGCCCACACCAATGCTGGAACTACTTGAAAAGGAATACAAGGGGCCACCAGAAGTGATGACCTACCTGGGACACCCCTTGCTCACACCTCATCATACCAGGTCCCAGAGCTCTAAGAGAGCTGGAATTGCCCTACCAGCCAGCTGTTGGATACAGATGGAACCCTTTGTAAGGCAGCTCAAGTTTCCAGGAGAGAAGAAGTCAGGAGAGGGGATGTGAGAGGGCTGAGGCAGTCTGTGGAGTCTACCAGTTAAGCCATCAGACTGCCAAGGCCTGCAGCTAGCATGGGGAATGGTGATGGTGAGGAGCAGGGGCTGGCCATGGCTCATGCCCCAAGGACTGGTGACTGTTTGAACCTCCAGGCTGCTGTCCTGAGGGGAATGACTAGAGGCTTCTGGGGATCCCAGGTCCCCAATTCTTTCCTGCTGAGGAGGCTGAGGAGACCTTGGCCAGTGAGCAGAAAAAGACCTGTCAACATATCCCTGAGCTGGGCCTCTGAGGGGCCTTGGCCCATGGATAAGGCCCCAGGAGGCCCCAGGGATGGAACATCTCTTGAGCAAAAACCACAGCTGCCTTGAGAAGCTTTAAGGGTCCCTGGAGGTTCAGAGCCAGGGCTGATTTCTGCTAATGATAACAATAGTAACCACACAGGATCGTGTCTAAGAAGCCATTAATTATAAGATGCACCCCAATTTCAGAGATATTGAAATGTGAAAGAAATATTCACCTTAGAATCAATTAAATTTATGAATAATGGAGAACTTTTTTAGAGCACTTACTGTGAACCAAACATGGTACTAAAAGCATTATACATGCTGTCTTAACCTCCAAACAGCTCTGAGATAGGTTCTACTGTTGCCTCCAACTTACAGATCAAGAAATTGAGGCAATGAGAGGTTGTCACTTACCATGTTCACATAGAGAGGGCGGAGCTGGGATTTGAACTCAGAACTGTCCAACTCCAAAACCCTATGCACCCGTCACCCTCCATCATGAACTTGTGCTTTGCAGCAACAGCCTTTCTAGTCTTAGAACCTCACGTGCAGCATTTTAAGTCAGTTTTTGGACTCCAGCCAGCAAGCATCTCTGGGCAGACAAAAGGCTCCCTGAGGCAGAGGCGGCTGCTGGGAGGGGGCTTCTGCTCCCAGCCCTGAGCAATGCTGTCCTGTTTGAGGACTCCCCTTTCTTCCCAAGGGCTGTCTACATGCTCAGGAGGAGAAGGGGGGTTCCCTGAAGACCTTTCCTCCTTAAAAGTCCTCACTGGCTTTGCACTCTCTCAGAACCAAGTCCAGAATGCTCGGGGCAGCTTGCAGAGTCCTTTCTAAGCTGGCCCTGACAGTTTATTTTCAGTTTCATCCCAAGACAGCCCAACCTCAAGGGTCTGAGGAGGCTGGGGACGTGGGGCCTCAGGCTAGCCCCAGGTCCTGCCTTGGTGGAACCTGCTTGGTGCTGGGAGGGTGACTAGGGGCCAATGGTAGGATCTTTGTTTGACCTGGCTAAGGCAATGTTTCTGCAACACCACATACCTAGGCAGCTCCAGATGATAGCAAGAAAAAGGACTCTGGAGCCAGAAAGACCTGGACCCAAGGCCTAACTCCTCTGCATCTGGCTGTGAGAATGGGTGGACTATTTAACTTCTTTAAGTCTCAGTTTCCTTGGCTGAAATAGGGACGGTGATCCATCTTCCCGAAGGTGAGGAGGCAGGGGTTGTGAGAACTGAGTGAGGGTGAGATGATGCTCAGAAACAACCAGCATAGGCCAGAAACAGAGGAGGCACTTAGAAAATGCCAGCCCCAAGATGGGGATGCAGAGCAGGTGAAAAGGCCTGAATGGGCTCTGCTTCTACTAGAGAGGGAGGCCTGTGTCAGGCCTCAAGCTGGGCCCTCAGCCTGGCTGCCTGCTCATGCCTCATGGGGGCTCCCTGAGGTCTGCTGCCACATCCTTGTGCACCTCCCCACTCCCAGCCAGCAGACAGAGCAAGGAGGTGGGGGAGGCACGTACTGCCACAGAGGTCACCGAAGATATAGTAGCACTGCTCAGAGAAGGTGATCTTGTTGACAGTGTGGCGGATGAAGCCGGCTTTTAGCAGGTTGCTGGCGTACTTTCGAGCCTCTCTCCGGTCCGTGAAGCCTTCTACGTTGTGGTACAGCCAGTCCACCACATCCGAGCCTGGGGGCAAGGCCACCACTTGACGGGGAGGCCCACCTGACTTGGGCTCCTCTGACCTCCCAGAAGCCACAAGGCTGGGGCTGGTTCCAGCTCAAGGGAGTGGCCCAAGGGAGATCTTCAGCCCCCAGCCTGCCCTGCCCCATCCCTCCCCATCCCGTCCTTCATCCCACCATGCAGCCCTCTCACCAATGAAAGCGTTGGGGATGGTAATCTTGAGCCACATGCGGTCACGGACCTCCAGCCCAGATTCAGGGGAGGCCATGGCTTTGACAATGGCGGCCATGTCACTGTGGATGGACAGGTGGAAGTCATCTAGGCCTGGGGGTGGGAAGCAGAATGGTGAGGCAGAAAGAGGCTACAGAGTTAGGTAGAGAGGAGTCTGCTCTGCAGCTCTACCATCTAATGACTACGGGCCAATGGTGGGCACATTACTGACTTCTAGGACACTTAGTTTCCTCCTCTGTAAAGATAGGGACTTTAATATTTATTTTGCAAGGATTTTTTTTTTTTTTAAAGTAGGCTCCACGCCCATTGTGGAGCCTTGAACACAGGACTTGTGCTCACAACCCTGAGATCAAGACCTGAGCTGAGATCAAGAGTCCCAACGCTTAACCAGCTGTGCTACCCAGGTGCCCCATATTTTGCAAGGATATTTGAAGAGAGAATTAAATAATATAAATGAAGGTGCTTAGCATAGTGTATAACATGTGTGTTACAGTAAAAATGGCAGTCATTTACTGAGTGCTTACTTCATGCCACATCCTGGGATGGGGGCCTCACTTATATCCTCTCATTAAACCCTCCCTCCCTCGCCCCGGAACCCGGTAGAGTGCATATCATTAGTCCCATTTTACTAGAGGAAACTGAGGCTCACAGGGTGCTCAATACAGGCTCGGAGGCAAACACTGTTTAGTGAGGGTCGGGTGTCCACTGAGGGAAGCTGCAGTGTGAGGTAGCTGGAATGAACTCAGCCCCCTCTCCAGCCCCCTCTGACTTTTAAGCAAGAGTCTCCATGTGGGCCTTCATCAGTCCCTCCCACCCGGCCCTGCCTGCTGGGCCTAGGGGGCAGGGCTGGACACTCACGCTCTGTGTCAGGGATGGAGCTGGTGATGGAAGAGCTGGTGGAGGTGATGGTGCTCAGGGAGGGGCTCATGCCATAGGCAGGGAAGGTGCCGGTCATGGCTGCAGTGTGGGAGACCCAGGCTGCAGGGTCAATGGGCCGGATGGGCTCGCCTGCAGGGAGGAGAAGAGTCAGGGGCTGCCCACTGCCAGGCCCCACAGGGAAGGTATGAGGGTTCAGGGGAACAGAGAAGTATGGAGAGACAGGGTTCATGTGTACCAAGCACCAGCTTTAGGGCCGAGTCCCCCAACCACTTACTCCTGGGCAGTGTGAAGCAACCACGTGGACTTGGGTCCCAGCACTTGGCTACAGTCAGGGTGATGGGCCTGAAAGCAAGGGGATTCCTAGTGAGGGCTGGATGCATGGAGTCCAGATAAGCCCCCTGCCTGAGGGCCAGAAGTGCTTGCTCCCTCCTTCCCATGTCCCGTCCCATCCATACCCCGGTTTGTGCACAATCTCCCGCAGGACCCTGACCGCGTCGTCATTGCTCATGTTTTCAAAGTTGATCTCGTTTACCTGGGAGAGAGGGTCAGAAGTGGGATAAGCAGCTGGCCTGGGGAGATGGGTAGGGAAGCTGAGCTTAATGGATCAGGAGGTCTTCCCCCTACCAAGCAGTGGTCTCTAAATGAGCCGGTACAGGGATGGGGATTATTCCCCTACGCCCCAACCCCAGCACCACCTCCGGGGGCAGTGGTACCTGTAACAGCATATCTCCTGGCTCGATGCGTCCGTCCGCAGCCACAGCCCCACCCTTCATGATGGAGCCAATGTAGATGCCTCCGTCACCGCGCTCGTTGCTCTGGCCCACAATGGAGATGCCCAGAAAATTGTACTTTTCTATAGAGAGTGACACAACCTTAAGAGGGGAATAAGGTTCCTACCCAAATTCTGAGTCCCTTTTTAGAAAAGGGTGGAAAGGGATGGGAACTAACGTTTCAGTGAACCTGAATCAGGCCCTGTGCTCAGTATGGTCACGCATACTTCCATTTAGTCCTTGCCAGCTCTGCCACAGGGCCTCTTAGTCCCATTTTACAAAGCAGGCAACTGAGGTTCGGAGAACCTCAATGACTTTTCTAAGCCATTAAGTTGCAAAGCCAGGATTCAACTCAGACTTAAATTCTAAGGTTGGGGCTCTTTTTACTACATTAAGCTATCTCCTAAAGACAGCACCTAGGGCAGAAATCAGAGAGTGAAAAGCAATGGCTGAAAAAGGGAAGGGGGATAGGAATCAGGAATTACTTCCTCCAGGAAGCCTTCCCTGATGCCATCCTCTATTTCCACAGCTCTCTGTGCTTACCTCTGTCATAGCCCTGACAGTGAGCTACTGAAATGGTCAGTTGATGTACCGGTTTATGTTTATGAGAGAATGCTCCTCGGGGGCAGGGAACATATCTTGTACCTCTCTGAACTCCTCAAGTCTGCCCAGTAGCTGGCATACGGTAGGTAGGCCCTCAAGAGTATTGTTTCACCAGACTCACCCATGTTGAGAGTGACAGTGATGATGTTGAGTGACATGGTGGAGTCCGTGATGCTGCTGAAGGATGAGGACTGAAATAGACAGAGGCACTGAGCAGCATGCAGGTGTGGCAAGAACTCACTGCTCCCACCTAGCTCCTCCTCAGCCCTCGGCCTCCTCTCCCCTCTAAGGCTCAAACACTGGCCCAAAAGAAGGGGGTCTAAGGAAGCACACAGCCTGGATCTGCCTGCACAGGGCTCAATCTGCCCCCACCCATCCCTGGCCTCTCAGGTCCCCTACCCGTTCAATCCGCGAAACCTTCTGCTTCCTCCGCCGCCGCTTATGTCTTCTCATCAGGCGCGAGGCGCTGCTCTGCTCTGTGGAGCTGCTGAACCTGGGGGGCCCACAGTCGTTCCCCACCAGGCTGGCCCAGCCCTGCCTCACAAGAGGCACCGCAGGGCCCAAGTCCCTTATGCAAAGCCCACAGCCCTCCCAGGGTCCCACCATCCTGGGGGGAGGAAGGTGGGGTCAGGGCTCCTCGGGGGTCACCTGCCCCATAGTATCAATGAAACCAAAGCCCCACCTGCTAGTAGAGTCATCCTCATCCGAATCAAAGAAGCTGGTGGTCTCTAACTCGCTGCTCATAAGGGTGGATGAGCTATCATAACCACCTGGCTCTCGCCGCCGCTCCCCCTTTGCAGTTCCATTTAGCCGGGTTGCTGCAGGGAACAGAGGTAGCTGCGTTCACAGTGCCCATGCAGCAGGGAAGGGAGGCACAAGGCTGGGCTTGGGGCTGCACTGGGGTCAGGCATACCCAGAGCTCAGGAAAGGGCAAAGAAGTGGGTAGCTGAATGGAAGCAATGAGGGAAGGCGTAGGGATGGGGAGGAAAGGCGTCTGTTCAGGGAAGACGCACTGTGCTCTGGACCGTCCCTCCTGCGTGGCCGTTCGCGCTGGGCAGACACCAAGGAGTCCGTCTCTGTGTCATTGTCCAGGTTCTCCTGGCTGCCTCCACCAGCATGAGGGCTGTGGGGAAGAGAGGACTTGGTGGGAAAGGGGGCAGGCTGGGGGTTCCCTCCCCCTAGCCCTGGGCTGAGCTGATGCAGGCCTCCCCCATGGGCCCGCTCCACTCTCAGGCCACACACTCACTGGAAGGATGGGGGCCGGGAGTCCCCAATGCCTCCTGTGCGCTCCATGGGCGGTGGCAGTTCTGATGGGTTGTCGGCACAGAAGGGAGCTGGCTCTGGGTGGGAGCCCTCGGCAGATACCAGCTGACAGGGAAAGAATGGGTGGTGGTATGGTACAGGGGCACCAGGGAACAGCAGATAGCTGGCTTCCGGCATGGCAAGCAGACTTGGGGAGAATGAACCAGGGTATACGGAGGCAGGAGAGACAGGACTGTGCAAGGTCAGCTGGGACGACGACTGGACTCACTGCTCACAGATGGGGAGGATGGAAGGCACGAGCTACTGAAGTGGGATGGGGGCAGAGAACAAGGGTCAGTGGTCCCAGACAGAGGTTGGCTGGAACCTGCGGCAAAGTGCCTCAAAGGGCATAGGAGACATCTGTGTCTCTGATGAGTGTTTCTGTCCCTCCCTTCCCCACATTCCATCTCCCCACCCACAGCTTTCACCAAGGCTACATCATCTGGGGTGAGAAACAATTCAGGTAGAAAACTCAGGGGAGAGTCAGATATTGAAGTATAAAACCACTAGCTATAATCTTAGCAATGCTTTTCCTGTCTAGTCCACAGCAGGGACACAGGAGGAAAGAGGGCTGAGGAGGGCTCCTTACCCAAGACACCACCCGGCCATTGAAGCAGGGCAGCTTGGCATTGTCGTCAGAGATCTCCTCCTTCACCACTCTGCAGGGAAAGGGTGGGGGTATCAGAGTGAGCTTTCTAGGGTGGAAATGGAAGGGTCCTCACAATCCTAACTCAAGGGCCCATCCACCCTAAACTGGGAATCATGTCACCAGCCTAAGCGTATTCAAATGGGAGCAGAAGTGGGGGTCACCCAGGGACCGCTCTTTAGCACCATCAGGAAGACACCAGCCCTGCCCAGGCCAGATGCCATCCTAGGGTGTCCTCTCAGTTATCAGGTGATTGCAAATTACACCTGACAAATTGCTGTCCCCCATAAATGTGGCTACTCCCTAGAATTCCAAGAGTGTGTTATCCAGTCCCAACATAGCTCTTCTGGGCTGAACTTATTCTTTCCCTCTGACCCTAAACTAGGAAAAAGCACACCCTTATTTCTGTCTTTTCCTTCTTGGGAATCCTGATATTCTTCTGGGAGGTGTGGATGAAGAGTTTAAGCAAATTAGGAAAGAGAAGGGGAAAAGGTGTCTAATGAACATCCCCCACTGCCATTACGCTAACAGTACCAACTGCTCTCATTTACTAAGCATGAATCATGGGCCAAGCACTAAGCTAAGCACTTTACTTGGGTCATTTACTACTCACAGCAATGCTAAGATAGATACAAATGGGAAAACTAAGGCTCAGTAGGTTCAGAAACTCAGTCACACACTAATAAAAGCTGGAATTTGAAGCCTAGTCAGCATGATTCTTTAGCCTTTATTCTTACTTATTATACCATCGTATCTCCCTATAGTTAGAATGTATAATCTTCACATCACCTTCATTGTAAGGACAAGATCCTCATTTTATGAGTAAAGAAATGGAGAAACATTCAGTAGCTTGTTCCAGGTCACAGAGCTAAAAGATGTCAGAGTTGCAATTCAACCCCAAGCTTGCCTGACTGCAAAACCTATGGTCTTTCCATGGTATTTCACATTTTTTCTCTTACAATGACAGGTGATGTAGACCTGTATGTGTGGTGGTAGTGGGGGGAGGAGACAGTGATGTGGGCAGGGAGGTGGTGGGATGTGTACAGGCATGTAGTTTGGCTCGGGGGATACATCAAGGCAAGAAGTCAGACCACGATTACAGTTTGGGGCTAGGGAAAAGAATGGAAAAGTTTGAGGACCCCAGACTGTGTCAAACACTCTAGGAGTACAGAGCTGGAAAGATGTGATCAGGGGCAAGAGGAACACACACGCCTGGGGTTGTGAGCAGAGAGGGAAGACAGCAAGAAAGGAGACTGGGAAGCCTAGTCCTTCCTTGTTCTTGGGGCAGCTTCTGCCCAGAGCCGGGAACGTGCTTGGCTCCTTATGATGCTCACATTCTTGGACTCACAGTCAAGTTCAAAGACCGAGCCTGCCCTTCTCCCTCCCATCTAGCTCTGGTTCCTCCACCATTTCCAACCCCACAAAGACCCTGGGAAAGCAGCTCTAATCATTCTGGTCAAGCCCACGATGGCAGAAAGCCCAAGGATAGAACATGCTGAAAAGAAGGGACATGGAAATAGCTCAGAGTCATCAGCCAGGCTGGCCAGAAGATACCCTAAGCTCGCAGTCCAATATGGGACCTGAGGCCCAAAGGAAAATGGGGTATGTGGGTCTCATGGCAGAGATTGCCCTGCTCTGGAGAGGGTCTCCTTGTGGTGGGAAACTGCTGCTGAGTCCCCACCACACCACCCCCGCCCCCAGCAGGCCCCACCACTCAGCTCCAATGCTACAGATGTTTCCTTTCTTTCTAGGGGTCACCGACAGGTCGCCAAGGCTCTGCTGACTCATAACGATCAGCTGATCTTCAGCAACAGCCTTGGGGGACCTCAGACAGGCCTCCCTCTCCCATCATGGAGATGAATGGCTCATGGTTGCATAGCACTAACACACACACACACGCCCCAAGCAGAGTTGAACAAATCTGGGTTCTAATTCTGCCACATATTAGCTCTCTTAGCTTAGAGAAATTTCTTGACTTTTCCAAACCTTTGTCTTACCCTGGTAAGTGGTACTTGTGAATGCCTGGCATGATCTTGGCTTACAATAAAAGCTAACTATTAGCTGTGCCAATTTTTAGCAGGTTCCATACTCTCTCTCCAACTTGGTGTAAGTTTCCAAGGGCAGGGACCAAACAAATCTGCACATCACTCATTGTCCATTGTTGTTCAATTAAAAAGCCTTTGCTAAGAACCCAGCAGGTTTTAAATCCTGTGCTTGCTACTGTATAAACTTCAAGGTGCATCAGACCAGGAGCCTGCCTTGTCCTTGGAGGTTATGGCCCAATGGATAGTTCATGCAAATATATGGCAAGTGGGAAGTGATCAGAACCATAAAAGCAGCAGATGTGTGCACTGGACAAACATCTGTTGAGTATTTCTTAGGTGTCAGGTCCTGGCTAGGAGCTGGGTAGGTGTAACGATAAATGGGATAAAGTGCCATAACTTTCAAAGCTCAATGCAGAGGATGGGGCAATATGCACGTGGGGAAGACAAGGGAAGAGCAATGTGCTCTGAGGAGAAGGCCCAGAGGCACGGCAGTATGTGACATAGAGCGAGGAACAACACAGTTGGTAGCCCAACTTCCCAAGTTGCTCCCGCCCACCTCGAGGCCACTCTAGCCGCCGTCCCCCATCTCCCTCAGTGCTGAAAATATTTATTCTTCCTCCATTTTGCAGCAGTTTAAGAGGGTCTGGCCTACCTTAGTTTGACAAATACTTCTGGAGACCAGATGGGAGTTGGGGAGTCCTCCGACTTCACCAACTGGAACCTCAGAGGGTGAGCTTGGAGAGCAGCCTTTCTCCTCTGACCCACTCTCCCAGCTGTCAGCAGAGGTCGCTGGCCTCTACCTGACCCTGGTCTCAAGGGGCTAAGCCCTATCACCTCTATAGTTTGCCAAGGCTCAGCATCTCCTTCAGAGAGGACGTATCTGTGCAATGGTGACGATAATAGTAACACCTACAATTGTGTGATTAAGGCCTTAGACTTTGGAGCCAGATTTCTGATGCAGAATCAAGCTCTGCCACTTACTAGTTGTGTGGCCTTGGGGAAGTTACTTACTTTTTCTCTGCGCTCTAGTTTCTTCCTCTATAAACTGGGGATATTACTACTTATTTCATAGGGCTGTTAAGATGACTGCATGAGTAAAGATTTGAAAAGCATTTAGATCAGTGCATGCACACTGAAGCATCATAAGAAGAGTCTGTTAAATAAATAAAAGATATAAACTTCTCAGCTACTAGTTCTCTGTGATGAGACAGCTCTAGCTCTCTCCTGCTCAATAATCCTGGGAATAAAAACAAAATGAATCTCCTCCTTTGGCTTTGTTCTCAACCATGTTAACACAGTCTACTAGGATACTTTGCCAAGGACGGTTCAAGTACCACTAATGTACGCAAGATCGCTTCAGGTGCACCTGAATGAATGTTTAATTCAATAGTTAAGTATTTTATTTTTAACATATTTTAGAAAGAAATACAAATAGAAATTCAGACCTGTGACTTCATATTACTGATTGGGTCAAGCTAAGAAAGAGTGAGTGAACGGACAGTGGATTTAAAGAACAATATCAAGTCAACAGTGAGCAGATGAAATGGGGACCCTCCTAAGGCTGCAGTTAGGCCTGGCTTGACAGCAGCCCGAGGGGGAGTGGGAGGCAGCCCAGAGGGGTCTAGGTTTACAACAGGGGGCTAAGCCCACTGGGTTCAGGGGTGAGTTGATTATGTGGAGACACTTACCTATCCTAGTCCCCCAAGGCATCCAGTCCCAGGGTGGCTCCAGCACACTGGGCTCTAGAGGATTTGCCCTATCCCATACCCTGAGGGGGCATCTTGGTCTCTTCCAACTCTTTTTTTCTCTTACCACACCAAGACATCTGTCCCCTCACTCTCACCCCTTGCAGATCAATCCTCCTTCAGAATCTTCCAGTCAGGGGTGTCTGCCTCTGGACTGAAGCCAGACAATCATTACTACATCAGGAGTACCCACCCCAGGGTAGGAACAGCAACAGAACCCAGAGTGGTCAGGAGCTGCACAGCACTTCCCACTGTACAAAGCACTCTCACACATAGGAGCTCATGGGCTCATCAAACCCTGAGTTCCGTGGGGAAAGGTGACAGCAAAACATATTAGGCAGAAGAGGAGAGAAGGTGCTTGCCTCCCAGGGCCAAAAGGGCAGGGGTCTCAGAAGAGAAGCCAGACTGATAAACACCAGGAAGGAGAATGTCTCCCTTCACTCAGCTCTGGGGCCTCAGCTCCAAAGAGCAGTGCAGGCCTCAGGATGGGACTGGAAAGACAGCCTTTAGGCCTGGAGGGCCCGGGAAGGCCTTCCCCACAGGCCTCCAGGCCCAGTGCCCAGTTAGTGTGGGGCTGGCAAGTCTGGGGGCCTCCCCCTCCCCCAGTCTCTTGGGAGTTGGGGGGGGGTGAGGGGATGGGCCAGGCTCCCCCTCCCAGGCCAGCTGCTACAGAACCTTCCGGCTCCAACATTCCATCCCTTCTTAAAGGGGAAGTCACTGCTTCCAAACTCCGCCTGTCCAAAGCCCTGCAGCTGGATGGAGAAGAACCCGCCAGGGAGAGGAAGATGAAGAACACCAAGAGAGCTTCCTGGCCTTCCCATCCAGGCTCCGAGGCCCTTTCCAAGGTCTCCCCTTTGCCTACCATCTGGAGGAAAAAGGCCCCAATTCTGAAGGGAAATCAGCACCTAGGCCAGGGGGTGCTTCTCAGGGGTCAGGCACTCCGATTCCTTGACAACATCCTAAACACCCCACAAGGAAGGGGAGACAGCTAAATAAACATTAGGTTTGCTGGCCTCAGTTTGCAGCCTGGTCCTAGAGCCCCCCTCCCACTCCCCCTCCCCCCAGTTCAAAGTCCTACAGTATAGCCCCTGGATGCATTACTCCAAATATGGCTCTGAGTTGGGAGCTGAAAAGATGGAGAGGGCAAAGGTCGGGTGCCAAACACCCCAAGTCTCTGCTAAAAAGGTGGCTTCCTTGGCAGGCGGCAGGTTGGGGGCTCTGGCTCTGGAATCCGGTGGAGGGGGGGTGTGTCTGTCTATGTAGGCCACTGGCTCTGAGGAGGTGAAGGGGGCTTGGAACTCTGGTTGCTTTGGGGGAGTTAGACGTCCTCCTAAACTAGGGGGGCCTAGGTCCCCCACAAGAGGTAAAAGTAAAGTCCCTAAAGGGGCTTGAACTCCAGCCTCTGGAAAAACCGGGGGCCCCCCAAATGCCCAAGTCGCCCCCTGGAATCCAGAGTAGGGCTAGAAGCCAGTGTTACAAGGGGAGTCCAAACTCGCCGAGTGGGCCCCGAGAAGCCGGAGGGGCCGGGGTTCCCAGGAGGTGAGGCAGGGGCCATCCTCACCCGAAATCGTCGTCCATAGACTTGAAGAAGAACTTATAGCTGGGTCGCTGCAGAACGCCCTTAAAGTCCGCCAAGGTGACGCGCTCGGCGGGCAGGGGTAGCTTCACCAGGTACGGCGTCTCCTGCCCGTCCAGGTGGTAGATGATCTTGGTCTCGCCCATGGCTCCGGCCTCGGGCCCGGAGGCCCGCGCGCGGCCTGCTCCCGCGGCCCCGCCGGGCCTCTCGGGCGGCGACGGCGCTCGGCGCGGCCCAGCGGCTCAGCCTAGCTCGGCGGCCGGCCGCGGCGCCAGCTCCCTTGTTCTCCGGCCTCTCCCGGGTCCCAGCGCCGCCTGCCGCCACCGCGGCCGCCGCTTCCGCTCCCCACTCTCCCGGCTCTGCTGGCGACCGCGACTCTTCCGGTGGCCGCGGCCCTCCCGGCTCTGCGCCGCGGCTCGGCCCGCTCCCCTCCCCCGACCCCGGCGCGGCCCCGCCCCGGCGCGGCCCAGCCCCAGCGCGAGCTCCGCCCCCGGCAGCAGCAGAGCCGCGCTGGCCTAGCGGCAGATGGCCGAGCCCTGTGCCAACCCCGTGGACACCCCGCCCACCCGCCGGGCGGTGAGCTTGGCCGCCTGCGCTCGGATCCCAGACCTGCGGGGAGCTTGGTGGCGGTCACCTAGGCTCCCCAGACAGGGAAGGGCAGATCTCACCAGGATGGCAGCGTTCTCGGACTCATCAAACCCTGGCTCTGGACCCAAGGGGGATAGGCCGTTCCTCAGCAGCCTGAGGTCACTCTGGCCCCCAGAGTTGGGAGGGGGGGAGCGGTTCCGACCAGGTATTGATGGAGGAAAGTGACCTTCCCGTGGCCCTTTCAGGGTCTGTTGGAAAGCATAGCAGCTGTCACTGAGTCTGCCAAACCGAGTTCCTTGAGGACAGAACGAAATCGAGTTCTGATTCCTTCTTAAAACCACAGTATTGGGCACCTGGGTGGCTCAGTAGGTTAAGCGTCTGCCTTCTGCTGGAGTCATCATCTCAGGGTCCTGGAATCCAGGCTCACTACTCAGCGGGGAGTCTGCTTCTCCCTCTGCCCCTCCCCTCTGCTCTGGCTCTCTCCCACTCTCTCAAAATAAATAAATAAAAACGAAAACCTGAGTACAATACCTAGGTGCAAAACCGTGGCTTAATAAACGGACTGATGGAGAATGAGTGCAAGAATGAAAATGAGTGGGGCGCCTGGGTGGCTCAGTGGGTTAAAGCCTCTGCTTTCCGCTCAGGTCACTGGGATCGACCTCTCTGCTCAGTAGGGAGCCTGCTTTCCTTCCTCTTTCTCTGCCTGCCTCTCTGCCTACTTGTGATCTCCGTCTGTCAAATAAATAAAAAAAAATTAAAAAAAAATGAAAATTAGTGCATGACTGGGACAATAAATCTCAAATCAGAACTAAGTGTAATGGGTCCCTGACAGATCTGTTCACCCCTTAGCCTTTAATCCATTTAATAAATGGGTGCCCACTAAGGTGCAACGCAAAATGCAGGGGATAAAGTGAAAACAAAATAGTTAAAGCTGCCCTCAGTCAGGACTCACCTGAAAGGAGGCACAGAGCTTGTAATAACTTCAGAGGGACAAATGCCATGAAGAAGATAAAATGGAGTGATGTGATAGTAAAAGGAAGAATAGAACCATGGGTGTTAGAGAAAGCCTCTTCCATTTGAGTGAAGACATAGAATGGAAAAAACAGCAGTTAGAAGAAGGTCTGATGTGGCGGCGGCGGGGGGGGGGGGGGGGGGAAGCATTCCAGGCAGAGGGTGTAGTCAGGTATAAAGGCTCAAGTCAGGAATAAATTCTCTCAATTTGAGGAACAAGAAGGCCATTGTGACTATGGTGATAGTGGTAGAATGAGGCTGGAGAGGTAGACATAGGTTCTTTAAGGCCACAGGAGCAAGCGTGGGCTCCTCCCACTCCAATTTTGTACACTGTTGCCAAATTAGCATTTTCAGAGTAAGTACCTCTTCTGCTCAGAAATCTCTCCACATTCCCCAGTGCTTTCCAAAGATTCTTAGTACAATATTCAAAACTCCATAATCGAAACTACCTACCTCTACAGTTATTTTTTTCATTATACCCTGGGTAAATTTTTTACTTCAAAATTTTTTACTTTACTTTTTACCAACCTATTTGCTGGCCCCTGCACATACCTTGTGTACATACCCATCTCTTTACTTTTTCTAAATTAACTATATGTGCATATTAAGAAAGCTCTTAATAGCAGTTCTCTGTCTCATTTTCCACCCCACCTCAGTACATACATATTTTTAAACCTCATACTAGTTATCGATTTATGCATTCTTGACATTGCATATTTATTTCCAAATTTGAATGATGGATTTATCTTTCTTCCACCTCCCCCTAACCTCTTAAAGTAGTAAAACCATGTTTTTTGAAGTCAATATAGTTTTTAGTATTGACATTTTGCCCATGAGTAAATGCTTCCTTTTTACAACTTTTCATTTCTCCTGGCATTAATCATTGCTTTACTTTTGCATTTGCTTTTTAATTTTAATTAATTTTTAAAAATATTTAATTTATTTATTTGACAGAGAGAGAGAGATCACAAGTAGGCAGAGAGGCAGGCAGAGAGGGGGACTGAGCAGAGAGCCTGATTCGAGGCTCGATCCCAGGACCCTGGGACCATGACCTGAGCCGAAGGCAGAGGCTTTAAGCCACTGAGTCACCCAGGCGCCCCGCATTTGCCTTTTTAAATAGTATAACTACCATTAAGTCTTACCATATAATCTAATAGTTTCTCAATGCATATTTTGTTTACCCTGTCAAATATATTAGATAATCCAACCATTTTCTCCCTTGGAGCCTTCCATTCTCTTGCTCTGGTCTGCACTGTTGGCTGTCTCAGCCTGTGCACAGAGGTCATCCTAGAACTCTCTGCATCATCTTCAGAGTTCCCTTTATCTCTCCTCTCTGTTGAATCCCCATTTCCTAGATATTTCACTCCTTCGCTTTGGTAAAGCACACGGTTTTGTGGCTTACTTTGAAAGCATGGGAAATAAAACCCCTTTCAAGAACCTGCAAATCTGGAAATATGATTCAAAGTAATTTCCTTCCGAATTTTGAAGCTATCACTACATTGTCTTCCAGCATCCAGTGTTGCTATTAAGCAGTCAATTTGAGCTCTGTTTTTCCTAAGGCTTTGCACGTGACTTGTTTTTACTCTCTCTGGAAGTCTTCAGGAGGTTCTCTTTATTCCTGGGGTTCTGAAAATTTTTTAAAAAGATTTTATTTATTTGTCAGAGGGAGAGAGCATAAGCAGGGGGATCAGCAGGTGGAGGGAGAAGCAGGCTCCCCGCCAAGCAAGGAGCCCAATGAGTGCAGGACTCCAGCCCAGGACCCTTGGATCATAACCTGAGTCCAAGGCAGACCCTTAACCGACTGAACCATTTAGGCTTCCCGGGGTCCTGAAATTTCATGGTGATACATCTTGGTACTAATTTACTGCGCTAGGCACTTGGTGAGCCCTTTCCATCTAGAAATTCAATAATACTTCCTTGAATTATTTAACATCAGGACCATTTTTTCTGTTCTTTTTAGAGCTCCTGTTAGATGTTAGACCTTCCAGATTGATTTTTATTTTTTTCCTCCTTTATCATCTGTTCCCTTTTATTTTTAAATGACTGCACCTTTTTGCGAGATTTTCTTGACATTTCCAACCTTTCCCCTATCCAATTGGATAGGTAAAATGTTCACATTCAAAATTCAACTCCCTAAGGATAGATGTAGTTTCCAGCCTATTCAGCTCTCTAGTCCTCCAGTTCTCAGTAGGAAATAATTTACTTATTTTTAATTTCTAAAAACCCTGTTATCCAGTTCTCCCTTTTCATAGTACTTTCTTCATAGACACAGTATCTTCCCTCTTTGAATTTTAAGAATTATAGCTCCCCCCTGCCCTGAGGTTTTCAAAAACCTCCCTACTTTCTCATTGTTTCTTTGATTTCAGTTTTATTTTGGTCTCCACCTTTCACGTTGGAAGTATCCTCAAATTTTTTTTTAAAATATTGTATTTATTTGACAGAGAGAGATCACAAGTAGGCAGAGAGGCAAGCAGAGAGAGAGAGGAGGAAGCAGGCTCCCTGCCGAGCGGAGAGTCCGATGGAGGACTCGATCCCAGAACTGAGATCCCAGAACTGAGATCATGACCTGAGCTGAAGGCAGAGGCTTAACCCACTGAGCCACCCAGGCGCCCCGGAAGTATCCTCAAATGTTTGATGGCCATTAGTCTACTCACATTTAAGAGCGAGATACTAAAAAGCTGGTTGGAAGCTCTGTCCATGTACAGGTTTTTATTTCTACGATTTTATTTTTAAAAGTAATCTCTATACCCAAAGTGGGGCTTGAACCCACAACCCCGAGACCAAGAGTCACACATTCCACTAAGCCAGCCCCCACATACAGGGCTTATTAACTAACAAGTTTCACTGTAGGTAATCAAGTGGGGGTGATGATGGGTTTTTGTTTTGAATAAACAAAAAATGTATTTAAAAGCTCCCTCCTCCCCACCCCGATTTTTCAGTTTGTTTTTGCCTGGTGTGTGATGATATTCAGAGCCCTCATATACTTTCACTTAATCCCTCATTTCCAATCTAGCCCCTCACCCTCATCTCCATGTCTGTCTTGAGTCCAGGGCTCAAATAACTCTTCCTTAAGGTTCTGGAATTTCACGGGACTATTTCATACATTCTGCCAGGCACGCATGACCTGTCAGTCTGAAAACTCAAGACCTTTGGATTTAGGAAACCTTCAAATATATTTGATAATTTCCTTCCCACCATCTCTTCAGAAACTAAATCTCCCACGATGAGCAGGAGAGTAGGGCTAATCAGCAGGCTGAATCAGAGGAGCCACAGACCTTTGAGGCCTTTTCTTATATAGATCCTTGATTCCTCTCCACCCCACCCTGTTACCGACCAATCCTTATCCCTTCTGCCAAGCCTTTTCTTGGTTTAAAAGGGCACATTGGGTTTGCCTGTTAATAAACCCCTCAGCAGATAGAACCCATCTCATTCTGCTCTGTTAAGTCAACTTTCACTCTTTCATTTATTTTTCATTTTTCAAAATGTCAATGTCTCTCATTCATTGTGATCACCTCAGGTTTTCCTTATTGAGTTATGGGACTTTTTTGAAGAATTCCTTTACCTAACACTTAAATGAGGTATTAGAAAAAGTAAAAAACCCACGTGTTTAATGTACGATATTGAAATGGAAACCCTTTGCTTTGCTTTTAAAGTCCCCTTCTACCTTTTAGGACACTCAGCTGTCACAATCCTCTAAGCCTTCCCTAATTAGTACACTGGAAGGAATCTATTCCTTCTAAAGAAGTTCTGTAGGCCAACTCTGAGCCCTGCTACTCATCAGGTCCAAATAAGAGGTACCCTATAAGTTATTTGTATTTAACTGCTCCTCGTAGTCCATGCCATAACCTTTATATGCCCTCTAGGAACTAGGTCTTGTATCTGAAAAGCAAAAACTGAAGATATACTGAAGAAGAAAAGTAAATTAAGCTCCTGTTTTTTCCTCTTTAGAAATATTCAGTAATGCCCCTCACACCCGAGTACAATTCAGTATCATTTTCCTTAGCTTACTCCTTTCTACCCAAATAAAATGAACACTAGCAACCATTTTATCTGTGATGTTCAGGAGGGCCACTCGTTACCAGTAACATCTGTCACTGTTTAAGTGTCAATAGGGTAAGGGATTTAGGACAACAACAAAGAGCTAAAAGAGGTGAGACAGAAGGGCATGTCTCATAGCTGAGGTTAAAGGAGACTACAGAGCAAAACAGCAAACTCCAGCATGGCTCTATCAATGACAAGTTATGGGACACCTCTGAACGTTAGGCTCATCTGAAAATGGAGATAAGACCTACATAATCTACTGTGAAGTTTAGCTAAACACATGAAAAGTATTTAGCAAAATGCTTATCATACAGTAAACACTCACTCAATATTAGGAGAAAGCCAATTTCATAGGATCTTCCTCTGTTCTTAGGATACCCACTGCTGGCTTGGGGTTATATTTGCCTCTGGAGGCAATTTCCCTTCACTGAGACACTGAATATATGCTGAAACAGAATTCTTGATTATAAGATTCAAGTCCTTAGCTTTACTCCTTTCAAGAGTCTTGAGACCTTAGGGCGCCTGGGTGGCTCAGTGGCTTAAAGCCTCTGCCTTCAGCTCAGGTCATGATCCCAGGGTCATGGGATCCAGCCCCGCATAGGCTCTCTGCTCAGCGGGGAGCCTGCTTCCCCACCTCTCTCTGCCTGCCTCTCTGCCTACTTGTGATCTGTCAAATAGATAAATAAAATCTTTAAAAAAAATAAAAAAGAGTCTTGAGACCTTAAGTAAACTTCCTCATCTTGAAGATGCTGAATATCCCAGCTTCCCTGATAATAATGGGTCAACTGGACAAAGCATGTGAGGGACTGGGAGCTGGTTAATGGACTAGACATATGCTTGGATCATCACCCTCTGGCAGGAAAAGTGTTTGGATAGGACTCTCTACGGAAATAGGCTCAGGCACACCACTCCAGGACCACAAATTGGTCCACAGAGGCAGGAAGACAATCTAGGCCTCTAACTACCCATGAGCCATGACGATGGTCAGTTGGCAAGGCACCACAGTACCACCTAGTGGCTGTTAAACACACCCCACTTCTCCTTCTCCCCCAGGTGTTAGGGAAAAGCTGCCAGGTTCAGAACTCTGTTCACCTATAACACGAGCTGATCAGTCAGAGTTGGGAGAGAAACCAAATACATCCCTCTCTCTCTTTTTTAATATTAACAAATACAAGCAGCAGAAAGGGCCAGCTGCTCTCTGCTGTTCCCTGAGGGAAAGCCAGAGCACAAAACCGTTCCTCTGGGCTTCCTCTAACTGCAGGGCCTGCCTCGCTCCTCTTTAGGCAGAGTTTTGTTGCAGCCCAACTTCCCTTTCCCCAACTCCTCGGTCAGGATGGGAGGCACATGGTTGCTGGCGGTGGGATGAATACTGTAGTTCCGGCCTCTGCTCCTTTAAGTCTCATCTTGGATGGCGGTCACTCATCCTTCGGCAACTAGCTTCTCATTTGCTCTGGCCCAGAAGCCAGGAGAGCCATCAACCACACCCACAGAAGCAGGAAGTGCAACTTCAGTCATCTTCAGATGACTCCTCTTCTGCCTCTTTTAGCCACTGGATGAACCTCTGCAGCTGTAAGAAAGCAGACTGGAGAGTTATTGAGGGAGGAGCATATAAACAGCTTTAACAGCCAAAGAGTCCCAGGGAGCAACCACCCGGGAGTTTGTGGCCAGAAGCCAGGGAACTAGACAATCACCGCAGTGATAAGAGGGTGGCCTGACACATCTGTGGCCAGAAGCCAGGGGACCAGACAATCACGGTGGTGATAAGAGGCTGGCCCGACTCACCTGTTGGTTCTTGCGCAACTGTCGGCCCTTGTCAGTCATATCCTTTTGGCTGAACCAGCTCAGGATTGTTTCCTCAGCCAGGATCTCTAGCTGGTAGAAAGCCATGAGTACCTGCAGAAGGCCAGCAGAAGAGATCTCAGGGACCTTGCAGAATCCATCAAGATATAACAGATAACAGAGGAAGAGGAGGCAAGATCTTAGCACCTCTCTCTACCAGACTGTCAGCTTTCTTTAAACCACCAGTTGCTTTTAAAACAGGTGAAAATGAGCTTTTCCCTCCGGTACTAGGACAGGTAGGTATAACTTCTGGAACTATTGCTGGGTCCCCAGGATGATCCCCAAATGGCTGCCTTACTAGCCTGACTCCCAACTGTACTATCCCAGCAATCAGTGCAATAACAGGGGTGGAGGTGCTCTTAGTCAAATCCCATACTAGATTCACATCAGCTTGTTTTGTGTCTCGAGGGAGACACAAAAGGGAGCCAACGCCTGTTTCAAAGCAAATCCAGGACTCTGGGGCTTGAGGTGGCACTCACCTTGGCCATGGAAGTACTAAGAGCTTCATGCTCCAGGAAGAAGTCCTCAATGGCTGCCAGTGCTTCCAGATGATCAGCTGCACGCTTTATGTAGTTACTAAAAACAGGGCTCCAGGACTTGAGCAGCTATGAGAGAGAGGAGAAGGAAGCTGCAATATATTCCTGACACCTATACCCAGACAGCAAAAGAAGTCAATATTGAAAACATGGGACTTTCAGGATATGACAGAACAAGAGGGAAATGATACAGGCCTGAGGAATCATGTCAGAGGGACTTGGGAATTGCTGGCAGTCAGGGCTGGTGACAAAGAAAAGATTTCCCAGGGAAAGTGGAAGGATGTCAGTTATAGGCTGCCTCAAAATACCTATTATGAACCTAAAGGTTGATCTCATTCTGGATCAAATCATTTCATTCAGAGAATGTAAAAGTCTGGGTCTATTATGGCCATCGTTTGGGGTCTAGTATGGTCTGAATCCTGGAGTCTCAAAGAGCACTCAGTATTGAACCTAAATGGACTCCTCTGAACCAGCCAAGCCTGTTCTAGTACCCAACCTGCATCTAAGGGCAAGGAGAAAGGAACCACAAGTAACACATATCCCATGATAAGACCTTCTACTCCCTATTTCCTTTAAAGTGAAACATGGAGGGGCGCCTGGGTGGCTCAATGGGTTGGGCCTCTGCCTTTGGCTCCAGTCATGATCTTGGGGTCCTGGGATCGAGCCCCACATCAGGCTCTCTGCTCAGCAGAGAGCCCACTTCCCCCTCTGTTCTCTGCCTGCCTCTCTGCCTACTTGTGATCTATCAAGTAAATAAATAAAAATTAAAGTGAAACATGGCAAGGACGCAGATGTGCCTCCACCCAATCCCTTGTACCCAGTCCCGATCTTTGCTCACGGGAAGCAGCAGGGCACAGTAACGGTTTGGGTCCAGCGGGGAATCCGTTTGCTGCAGGGGGAACTCCAGGACCACATGGCTCAGTACCTGCATCACCTCCTTTAGGCTTATGTTGTAGGCATACCTGTGGGGAGACAGGGGTGACAACAAGGCCTTCACTAACCCTTTTAGCCTGCTGTAGGATTATGCCTTTGGCAGGACACTGGGGAAGAAGTCGGCTAGAACAACATGCAAGGGGAGAGCTTTGGCAGGGGGAAGTCTGTGCTGAGGCCAGAACCTAATGCTCTCCTTGCTTCAAATGCTACTGGCCTTGTCCATTTGGGATGCTGAGGGAATCGGTTCCTATGTGGGAAGGAAACAGGAGAGAACCTCTACCTGCTTGGGACTACCCAGAGAAGAGGAGAAGAGGGAGGGCTGCTCTTACTTGAGAGAGTTGATCTCTAGGACTAGATTGTCACAAGAAATGTTCTCTTCCTTGCCCCGCTGTAGTGTTCCTAGGACTTCATTCTGGAATACTGAAATCAAAGCACGAATAAGTTCAATAACACTCCAGAATGCTTTAAGTTCCCTAGTCCTGACTTTAAACCAAACCCTTCTGGGAGAAACTGAAGTCTCTGGCTAGTTGATCCAGGCAAAGAATAAACTGGAGGTTTTCTTCTTTTGTCCTAGGACACTGCTCCCCTGACCAATCACCTTTGATGTCATCCAACTGTGGGGAGCCCTCTCGGCTATCTAGCTCCTCAGAATCCATACTCTGCTCGCTTTCAGTTTCGCTCTCTTCTTCCACGTTGATTTTGAGTCCTGACAACCCATAAGGGTGAGAAAAAAGAAAAGTTAGGAAAGAGCTGTTGATGGAGAGGAATATATCTACCATGTCTGAATGAATAAAGTAATGAACGAGTAGTCAGATTCTGAAGTGTTCACTTTTCATCAAAATATTCTGACTTAGAAGGAGGGGCGGTGACAGGGATAAGGCCTAACTCACCCCACAAATTCTGCCGTAGTCCCTCTTCCTCCTCCACGTTTATGTCTGCAGCTTTCCAGAGGTAGCCCTGGCCAGCAACTCCAACTTCTGCTGGATTGTAACCTGGGAAAGGCAGTGATCTTTAGTGAACACACTCTGGAGAAGCACAATCCCTCCAGGAGTAAACACTGGTTTTCCCATGGGTCAGAGAGACACACAATCGCCCCACACCTGATTAGCCTCACACCTTTCAGTTTCACTTTCTCCTTTTCTTGGTTAGCCCCAGAATCATCACTGAACTGACCATCATCCTCATCTTCCTCTGCATCTGGAGGGTGTAAAGAGATCACCGAGCCCTCAGGCAGCGTGATGTCTGGGCCCACTACCACCTAGGGGACACAAAAAGAGTGGGGGGCACAGCTTCATCAGTGTGCTGGGGAAAGGTACATCCTGACCAGGACAGAGATTTTTACTACAGGAACTAGAAGACAAACGGATTCACTGGATTTGGACTCTCAATTCAGGCTGGATCATGGGCGGACATAATGCCCCTCTGGCTCAGCATGACCACCACTAAGTTTGGGGTCCTGGTACAGTATAGAGCAGGGCTCACCTGGGAAGTGAGAACACAGCGTGGCTTCAGTGTAACTTGTTCCTTGACTTCAGCATTGTCACAGAGCAGAGACTGATGGATCTGTGCTCCAGCAGCCACTTGGACACCCCGCCACAGGTAGGCCTGGTCCAGCACCACGTTATCACCTGGCTCAGGATAGGAAGTACTTCTGGTCACTCAGGGTTCTAGACCAGGGCCATTCCAGGAGGACAGGGCTGACTGATAGCAGCACACCTCCCATCCAGCTCTGATACTCCATCCCCTAATTCACCAGAAACACCCTCTACACTCCAGCCTGAGGACAGAACATTGCTTAGCATGACCATCCTCTACCAGGTTTATAACAATCACAAACTATATACTGGACTTAAGAACCTGAGAACCTTCAAGATATCTGGGGACCCCTTTGCACTCAAGAACCTTATTAGAATCATATCCACGTCTAGAAGTAGAACTAAGATTTCCCATGTCTTCTTGTACATTTTTATTTTTTTAAAAGACTTTATTTTTAAGTAATCTCTGCACCCAACATGGGCTCAAACTCACAACGCCAACCTCAAGAGTTCCATGCTCTACCAACTGAGCCAGCCAGGCACCCCTCTTCTTGTACATTTTAGAATTAGAATCTTATTGTTCTTTTAAAGGGGCAGTTCCATTAGAAGCATCCTATTCCTACAACCAGAGTGAGTTATCAAGAGGCCAACCAGGCACTTACAGTTGAGTTATAAAGAACACTGGACTTGAAATACTTAGATTCAAGTTCTAGCACTACCTCTCATTAGCTATGACCCTGAGGGAGACAAACCTCTTTGAGCCTGTTTGCTTGGCTATAAACTGGAGATAAATAATACCTACTTCACAAGGTTTTTGTGAGGATAAATGAAACAATGTATGCAAAAGCCCTTTGTAAACTGCAAGGCACCAAACAGATGTTATTACTGCATGTTAATTATCCACTTGGTCCTGAATGTGAATAGGGTACTTTGGAATGTGAAGAGTCACCCAGTAAGAGGCTCACAGGCCACAGATTAAAGGTTGCAAATTTCACATCCCCATTTCCCTCCTTTATTAAGGTAGCCACTCTGGTTCCTTATTCTCAGGGACCATCCCTTTGTATCCTTCTCTACTCCCCACCCCCCTGCTCCCTGGGTTTCTATTCCTAGGATGACCATCCTGACTTCCCCACCTGTGCTCACCAATGTGGCAGCCAGGGCCAATGACACTGTTGGTGATAAAGCAATTGCTGCCAATGACAGTGCCAGAACCCAGAAGCACATTTTCCTCTAGGATGCTGCCATGGCCCAGGCTGACCTCAGGCCCTCGGTAAATGTTATGCCGGGAATGAGTGCAGCTCTGGGTTGTGTTGTCAGTGAAGTTTGCCTCTGGGGTGAGAGGGTAGACCCATCGGCGGATGACATCAGCGCAGACTGCCGCATACATGTGCAGGTTGGAGACCCGGGCACCATATTCCCTAGTTGTCACGTGCATGTGGATCTGGTTTCCTAGGATCTGAATGGGGAGAAGGAAAGGGAGGTAGCCCAAGCAAGTAAGAGAGGAAGAACACATCCAGGTACAACTCTTTCTAATCTTAAGATCCCCCTCTGCCCCTCAGTGTCATAGCCAAATGACCAAAATTTTTCTTTGTGTCTGATTCCCTATCTCCTTTTCCTTCATCCTAAGGCTCAATAAAGCCCAAAAGGGGACCAAAAGTTATCATCAGCCTAGGATAATGGCATAGCCCTCTTCTAAAGAGGCCCAGGAGCCTTTTCTTACCTCCTCATTCACTAACAGGCCTCGTACAAAGTCATCTCGAGTTTGGTAGTCAAAGTTGTCTGTAAAGAGTTGAGCCACCTGTTGGGGGGAAGTTGGATGGGGCCAAGGTGAGTGCTATTCTCTGGAAACAAAAATAAGTCCCTACAGACCTATCAGACCCTATGACAGTTGGACAAGGGCCAGAAACCCAAAAAGGTTCCCAATGGGATACTGGAGCCAGGATGACAGCATCTGTTTACTGTGGAACTCAGAGTTCTACTCTTTGGATGTGCAGCCCTGGCCCTGAAGAGCTCACCTGAGGAGAGCAGATGCTGATGTGACAGTCCAGTAAATCATAGCGAATCTCTACTCCATCTCCATTGCCCTGGAACAAACTCTGTGGGGAAAAGGCATAAGGACTTTACGAAAAAGAAAAAAAAAAGATTTTATTTATTCATTTGAAGAGAGCATAGGGGGAAGGGCAGAGGGAGAAACAGGCTCCCCACTGAGCAGGGAGACTGATGTGGGGCTTGATCTCAGGACTCTTGAGATCATGGCCTGAGCTGAAGGCAGATGCTTACCCCACTGAACCACCCAGGCACCGGGTATAAGGACTTTAACCTGCCTCCTGCTGAAGCCTGTCACTCTCCCACTTCAGGGACCCCAGATACCCACACACCAGAGGAAAAGAAAACCGTCGAAGGCCTTGGGTCTTCTGGAAATGGAGAACCCGGTTTGTGGCACTATCCACAGCCACTACCACATTGTCCTCATGGCAACGAGTTGGGTGGCTAGGGGATGACTCTTTGAAGATCATTGTCATCACAGATACATTTTTTTCTAGCTTCCGCCTCAATCTATAAAGTACAGGAGGAAGAGAGCAGCAAACAGCAGTCTTAGGGGCTCTGCTGGTCACAAACCCTTTGTCCCTACCATGTTCCCATCCTGACCTGTGTTCTTCCAGGGCTCTAGTAATATTGATGTTTGAGACGACATCCCCATACACCAGAAGGAAGTCAGAGCGCACCAAGGCCTTGGCATCAACATCACGGAGAACATCCCCCAGTGATCGATATAATTCTGATGTAATTATTCGAACCACATTGAGGGATGTAGGGCGGCACCACTTGGATTTCCTAAAGGAAGGGGATGAGGGGAATGAGTAAATCAAGCATAAAGACCATGTAGAGCTTCCCTATTTTTCTCACCCATTCAACACTCGCACCCCTTCTCAATGGCTTTTCTGGGTTCCTGCCAGCATCTTCAACTTCAAAGAGATTTATGAACTATAATTAATGGTTTCAGCATCCTGTGTCACCAGTCTCGTTTATGGGTTAGAGAAACATGGTTATTTCTTCTCCATACCCTGACACTTGTCCTCTACCATGGATTTGAATTCAAAATCCTGCTGAGATTTAGAGTATACAAAATATCCTGGGAACACACTTTCCACATCACTTCTCACCATCCAAAGTCCCAGGCAAATTTAGGAACTATCTAAAGGATACCATGCTAATATCCTAGTCTTTATTCCCTGAACTTCCATAAATCCTGAGATTCACTCTTTTTCAAGAAGATTTCATCAAGCATTTGTTAAGTAAGTGTTTACTACGTACTTTGTACTAAGATAGGCACTGGGAATACAATGATGAGGAGGCGCTCAATATTTACAAGCTCAGTGGAAAAACAAAGATGTTAGTCTTGTAACTTCCATACCGGAGCCATTAAATAAAAGCAAAACCTATGGAACAAAACTTTCTAAGTGAGAATGAGAAGAAATCTAAATGCAATTCTTTAATCTTTGTTACAACTTTAGCTGCTCACCTCCTGATAAGCGAAGAGAAAACCCTTACTTAGTTCTTATGACGGAATCCAAATAGACATCTTTCCCCCCTCACAATTTCCCCTTATTTAGTTACAACCATCCTAAGGAAAGTGGAAAAAATGGTGAAACATGGCAAGAAAAGTTCCAGAGCCTTACAGTAAATGTTCCTTGATTTGAGCAGCCTTCCAGCAACAAAAGACAAAGGTTTCCTGTACACCTGTGGCAGTCAGAAATTCCAGAGTGTAGTCAAGTAGTGCTACATTGGCCAGGGGCAAGAGTACCTGGAAGGTAGAAGATGAAAAATGTCTGAAGTCTTGAATCCAGGAAGGACCTCTGGGTACTATTCTTTCCTCCACTTAAGCACAATTTTCACTTCCCTACCACTGTTTCCAAACACCATTGTTTTACTTTACCTTCTCAAGGTAAAAGTAATCAGGTCCCTGCCTTTAATGTTCATGGCATCCTCTAAGCATAAGAATCTGTGGCTGGAATCTAATAGTAAGCATAGAATCTACTTGCTTAGCACTGGACATAGCTACTACAGAGCAGCAGGCCACCTTGGCAAAGGAAAACACTAAAAATCAATCCTATTTTCAGAAACTTAAGCAATGATAAGGCCATTTTCCCCATTAAATTTCCTTCCTTGATCCCTTCCTAAGGGGAGTCAGAGGCTAACCACCCCAATCACTGGTCCCAAATGAACAGCCATTAGGTTTTGGGGGGAGGATTGGGGAGTTAGGATTCTTCCTGAACCAAATGCAGCTCCCTGTCTTTGACTGAACTGGGGACTGCTGAGTGACCCAGCAATCCCTAAAACGAATTCCCCAGTCCAATTCCCCAGTACTTAGACAATACTGGGTCTGCAGGCATCAAGCCACTAAAACCTGTTCTATCCTCCTTTTGACAGATGGCACCAGCTGTCATTAAAACCTGGAAAGAAAAAAAGCACACCCTCCGACATTCAAGACAGCTGTTACTATGGGATTAGATTTTTTTTAGGCATATGGCCTCTCTTTTGCAGGCAAAAGGAAGTGTTGTTCCCATTCACCCAACGATCTTTTTCCACTGCACAGTTAAAGGCATCACAGCCTCCGTCTGAGTCACTGAATCCCCATGTAAAGGCTTCTCACAAGCACGGCTTTTACATTCAGCCCTCTGCATGCCTTCCAAACCTCAGGTGGTCAGGACTACGAGTGCCCATCGGCCAGAGCACTCCTCATCAGGCAGCCGAAAGGATAACCTGCTCTAGCCCGGCCACGTTCGGGCCCTCCGGCTGCTCCTGCGCGCGGCGCTCACCCGGGGCTGGTCCTTGGAGATGGGGAAGAAGCGGCGATTGAAGCTATCTGCCACCAGAACTGCTTGCAGGGGCGGCGGCGGTTCCTCCTCCGTCCCTTTGGCTCCCCCACCGCCGCCTCCGCCGCCTCCTGGCCCAGGGCCGCTGAGCTTGTTGGCCCGATTAGCCGCTGCACCGGGTGCAGTAGCCGCCATGTTCTTCCCTCACGGCCACCACTTCCGCACGGGAACCGACACCGCTCGCAGTAGGGGACAAAAAGGACCCAGCGTTGGAAACGCGGTGGACTAAAGAGAGGGAGGAGGGAGGAGACGCGGGGAACGCAATGCGCAGGCGTGTGGCCCGGGATTGTACCGGCGCCAAAGTGTGAGCTGGGAGGAGCCAGCCGTGCGCCTCCTGCCGGCTCCGCGGGTTGAGGCGCGGGGTGGGGTGGAGTCCTATGGACCACACACTCGATCTGCAGGTACAGTAGGCCTTCATTTGTACGCGAACAAGCTGCGATTCTTGAGGGATGGTAGGACTTGGGGTCTCTGCGAAGGGGCCAGATCCATTCGGAATATGTAGTCTTCCTCGCCCGGAGCATGTTAACAACTGTAGTCCTCCATCTACATTCCAGTCACGTAAATGTGACCCTGCGCCTTGGGGAGCTCGGACCCCAGCCAGATATTCCCTTACCCCAGGCGACTCACAGTCCACCTAAATACGGAACGTAGTATATAGTATAGTAGGGAGAGTAGCAATTCTGTTGAGCGCTGATGGTAGCCAGGGGACCATACAAGCCTTAAGTCGTTTAGTTTTTCACACATTTCTGGAGAACGTCCTTATTCATTTGTTCATCTTATTCATTCGTTTGTTTCTTGAACTCTCAGAGAGGGATGAACTTCCGCCAGCTACTTAGTGGAAGAACTGGTATTGGACCCCTATCTGGCCCACTTCATAGTGCCACAGTCTTTCTGCCAAGTTATGTGGGGATGAAAGTTACTATATTATGATTTCTTCATTTCTTCGTTCATTCGGCCTAATCGGCATTTATTGAAACCCTGCTCTGTCTTAGAGTGGAGTTGGGGTGGATCCAGGAACACCATAAAGTTGAGTGGGACTGGAGGTAAGCCTTGGAGGCGGAAGGAACTGCGAGCACGGAGACGCAAAGCCCTAACCTCAAGAGATGCGGGAGGATTGGGGGAAAAGGAGGTGGCTGCAGGGAGAAAACCGGGCCTGCTGTGGAGCCAGACCGTGGGGACTCGGTGGAAACGAGGTAACACAGCTAGGCTCATTTGTAGGTCAGGAGCTTTCCAGCAAGGCACCGCTCCCAGAACTGTCCGAATTCCACAATCGCTTGTCCTGCGAATACCTGCACACCCATGCTCTCCTTGCATTTTGGGATTTGACGTTCGGAAGGCTTAGATTTGTTGTTTCCACGTAGGACCAGGGAGGTCTTTCGTTTCTTCCTCATCCTAGTGAATGAGACTGCTGGGCAAAAACTATTTTTTAAGGATTTTGGAAAATTTAGCCTGGAGAAGGAAAAGTAGGAGGCAACTCAGTAAAAGTTTTTGATTGAATATTTGTATGTTAACAAGAATGCTGTTCTACTGTCCTACAAATCCATAGGCAGAAAGAAAAAAAAAGGATGACTAAACTGGACTAGTGATATGCGGGTGCTGGCACACACACGGAGGTAGGGTGATGGTAGTAGTGGAGATGGTGAAGCAGAGGGAAAGTAGGTCCAATTCTAGATATTTTTAAAGGCCTCTTGTGACCCGGGAAAGTGGTGAGTGATAAATCCCGGGCTTCTAATTCTGTAGACTGGTAATTGGATGGATGAGGTTTTTAATGGATGGATCTCAGAGAGAACATTTGTTTCAAAAACTTACTGGACTCAACAACAACAAAATTTGAAACAAAAAATGAGTCAAGTTCTTGAATAAGCATTTCTCAAAAAAGATATACAAATGGTCAGTAAAGTACATGCAAAGATGCTCAACATCACTAAACATCAGGGAATTACAAATCAAAAGTACATTGAGATGTCCCCTCACATCCATCAGGATGGCCACTATCAAAAAACCAAACCAAAACAAAACAGAAAATAACAAGTGTTAGTGAGGATGTGGAGAAATTGGAATCCTTGTGCACTGTTGGTGAGAATGTAAAACAGTTATAGCCACTGTGGAAAACAGGACAGTGGTTCTTCAAAAGATAAAACATAGAATTACCATAAGCTTCAGCAATTCTATTTCTGGATATATACTGTGAAAATGGGGTCTCAGATATTTAAACACCCAGGTTCATAGCATCATTATTCACAATAGCTAAAACACGGAGAGCAAACCAAGTGTCCATTGACGAATAAGTGGATAAGCAAAATGTGAGATATACATTTGATAGACTATTATTCAGTCTTAAAAAGGAAGGAAATTTTGACATAATCTATACCATGGATGAACCTTGAGGATATTACGCTAAGTGAAATAAGCCAGTAACAAAAAGACAAATACTGTATGATTCCATTTATATGAGTACCTAGAAGAGTCAATAGATGGTAGAATTGTGGTTGCTAGGGGCTGGCTGGGACAAGGAAATGGGGAGTTACTGTGTTTTAAAAATTTTCTTTCATTTTCTTTTCCAAAGATTTTATTTATTTGAAAAAGCATGTGTGTTGATAAATGTTCAGATTTTTGGGCGGGGTGGGGGGGAGGCTACAGGTTAGCTATTACAGGTAATGCTGCAACAAGCATCCTCCTATTGATATCTTTATAAATTTGCATTCATTTTTTAGAACTCGTTCTTAAAGGAGAGTGACTGGTTCAAATTGGATACAATTCCCATGGCAAATGATAAGCTGTTGAACTCACTGGGAAGCCTGCTGATGCTTAAATGCTTATTACATAATTGCTATCCATGGAAAATGTGTTTTTGTCCTTACAACAGCAATGTATGGGAGTATGTTTCCCTACAACCTCACCAACACACTATGTTGTCAACAATTTGGAGTTTCTGCCAATCCATAGAGGAAACGAAGTGTAGTTTGTTGTTGGTTTGTTTTTTGTTTTTTTTTTACAAAGTGTAGTTTTAATATTCCTTTCTCTTATTTTGAAATATGTTGAACATCTTTTCACATGTTAAAAGACCATTTGTATTTCTTTGGTCAACTATCAGTTCTGCTTCTTTTTGTAAATTAATATATCAGCATTAAGGTGTGGGGTCTTAAATATCAATCAGTTTTGGGGCACCTGGGTGGCTCAGTGGGTTAAGCCTCTGCCTTTGGCTCAGGTCATGATCTCAGGGTCCTGGGATGGAGCCCTACATTGGGTGGGGGGCGTCTCTGCTCAGCAGGGAGCCTGCTTCTCCCCCTCTCTCTGCCTGCCTCTCTGCCTACTTGTGATCTCTCTCTCTGTCAAATAAATAAATAAAATCTTTAAAAAAATAAATCAGTTTAGAATGTAAGCTCTGTGAAAATCAGGGCTTTCCATCTGTTTTATTCACTCTGTATCTCAGGTGTCTAGATGAACACTCGGCACATGGCACGTGCTCGATAAATATTTGCCTAATGAATGACTGGTTGTTGCTAGTCAGTAATTGAGAGTCTGAAGAGACAACTTTAAGCAAATACGTAAAAGTAATTTCAGGCTCTCCCAAGCTGAGGCTTTTTTGTTTTGTTTTTTAATTGTTGTAAAATACACACAACATAAAATTTCCCATCTTGACCATTTTTAAGTGCACAGTTCAGTACTGCTAAGGACAGTCACATTGTTGTGCTACTGTCACCACCACCCATCCATGGAACTCTTTTCATGTTGCAGAACTACAGCCCTGTACTCATTAAACAAGAACTCCTCATTCCCTTCTCCCCTTAGCTCTGGCAACCAGCCTTCTGGTCTATTAAAGTCTATTGTGTCTATTTGAGCATTTAAAAAATTTTTTTCTTAAGTTGTAGGAATTCTTTATATATTCTAGATATCAATCTCTTATCAGAGATATTATTTGCAAATATTTTCTCCAATTTCATGGGTTACCTTTTCACCCTGTTGATGATATCCTTTGATGCACAGAAGTTTTCACTTTGGTGAAGTCCAACTTATCTATTTTTCTTTTGTGACCTATACTTTTGGTGTCATATCCAAGAAACCACTGTCAAATACAATGTCATGAGGTTTTTCTCCTATGTTTTCTTTTAACTTTTAAATGGCATTTTTTTTTTCTTTCTCTTCAGGTCCTACTACAGAGATGTCAGAATAATGGTAGAGGATGTCCCCTGCAGGGTACCCTTGATACATACACAGAGCTGGCCGTTTCTAGGCATTGCTAAAGAGTCAGGGCTTTAGTGATCACATGCATCAAGCTGGTGGATTAGAACACTTCGACAGTAAATCTTAGAGCCTTTTGTGCTTCTCAGCTGGGCTTACTTGTGGCTTAGTAATCAGAGCCGATTGTTCACTGCCATAAGTTTTGTTTATTTTTCTAGTTACTTTTTGATCTGAGTCGTTCTGAAAGTTGAATGTTCTAAATATGTTATAGGAGAGCTGAAGTTTTTACTGTTCATATCCTAGCTTGCTAGAAAATGACAGAATAACTAAAGGTCTGAGTTCTCTTGCATCGTGTCTTTTTTTTTTTTAAGATTTTATTTCTTTATTTGACAGATAGAGATCACAAGTAGACAGAGAGGCAGGCAGAGAGAGAGAGAGAGGAGGAAGCAGGCTCCCCGCTGAGCAGAGAGCCCGATGTGGGGCTCGATCCCAGGACCCTGGGATCATGACCCAAGCCGAAGGCAGAGGCTTTAACCCACCGAGTCACCCAGGCACCCCACATCATGTCTTTTTTGTCATTATTGTTGTTTTCCTAGAATCTTCACTCTCATCTCCAGTGATAAAACTAGTTTCTATGGGTATAACAATCCTCTTTGTCTTCTAGGCTGAGAGTTGAGGAAAAAAGATCCTCTAAACCTTCTATAGCTCAGTGAAAACAGGCTGGGAGTATTCAGAAGAAACTTCACTTGCGAACTTAAGGGAAGGAGTGCCTGCGTGACTCAGTCCGTTAAGCATCTGACAGCTCTTGATGTCTGCTCAAGTCACGGTCTCAGGGTGAGATTGAGCCCTGTATCTGGCTCCAGGCTCAGCTCAGCGGGAAGTCTGGTCTCTCTCTCTCTCTCTCCCTCCCCCTCCCTCCCTCTGGCCTCATCCCCCACCCCTCCCCTTGCGTGTGCTAGCGAAGGCTCTCCCTCTCTTTCTCAAATAAATAGATAAATAAATCTTTAAAAAAATTTTAAG